AAGGATGGTTACAACTTGTTGAACCAAGCTATCGTCGACCCCTTAAAGGTTATGGCAAAAACTCAGCATCGAATGGGCTCGAGATACCCATGAAGCTCCATTTGATTTTTATATGAATTAAGGTGATCCACTGGATCCTTAGTCTTGTCGAATGCCTCTACCCGTGGCACCCGAAACTTCTGGGGCAGAGAAAAATAAAAGATTTCAATGGTGAAGGTTGACTCCGTTTATTGAACCAAAGCGTTCATAGTGACAGATATTTTCCATTTTACCATATCCTTCATGTTTTCCAGCCCATACTAGATCTTTCAGAATCTTTGCACCCAAAAGTGATCCATAGTATCATGCGGAGGCAGAGGAAGGTCTTCCCTTGGCATGGCTCTGGTTCGGAATAGACAAATCAAACCTCGAACCCGTGAAAACCCATCTCCTGGGCTTCTTAGGGGAACGGGTCCTGCCCGTAGGAGCCATTCAACTCGTTCTCACACTAGGAGACCTTCCTTGCCAGATTACCACCCCGGTTCATTTCTTGGTTGTTGATGCCCCTTCTGCGTACAACATTTTGCTCAGAAGGCTCTATCTTAACTCCATTAGAGTCATTCCATTGGCATATCACTTGGTTATGAAATTTCCTATGAAGAACAGAATTGGGGTGCTAAGGGGAGATCAGCGCCTCACTAGGCGTCTATGATGCAAAAAGAATTGGAATCTGTTCAACTAGAAGACCTTGATATGAGAGACAAGCTTGAAACTCGGCCTACACCATCGGAGCAACTAAAGCCGGTGCAGATCGATGAGGACCCTGGGCATGTGGTCTTTGTAGGCTCAATGTTGGTTGAAGGTATCAAAGACAAACTCATACTCTTTTTCAAGGAAAATGTTGATGTATTCACCTAGAGACAAGAGGATATGGAGGGGATCAATCCTGGAGTAATAGTGCACTGACTCAACATCGATCCAAATTTCAAGCCAGTTAGGCAAAAAAGGAGGAGTTTTGCCATAGAAAGGCAAAAGACGATCGATGAAGAGGTGGCCAAACTATTGTGAGCAAAGGACATTAGGGAAGTTGACTACTTGACATGGTTGGCCAACTTGGTGCTGGTCAAGAAGGTCAATGGGAAATAGAGGCTATGCATCGACTTCACAGACCTGAACTATACATGCCCTAAGGACAGTTTTTCTTTGCCCAAGATCAACTTGATAGTCAACGCCATAGTGGGCATGAGCTCCTCAGTTTTATGGATGCCTTCTTGGAGTACAACCAGATCAAGATGGATCCCAATGACCAAGAAAAAACTTCCTTTGTCACAAAATAGGGAATCTTTTGTCACTAAGTCATGCAGTTTGGGCTAAAGAATGCCGGACCCACTTACCAGAGGGTGGTCAATCTAATGTTCTATGAAAAGCTTGGGTCAACCATGTAAGTATACATAGACGATATGCTGGTCAAATCTCTTAAGTCCAAGCTCCACATTCAACACCTCTGGGAATCGTTCGAGATCATGCGTCAATGTAAGATAAAGCTGAACCCGGCTAAATGCACTTTTAGAGTCTCAGTAGGGAAGTTTCTAGGGTTTATAGTTAACAATTGAGGAATTGAGGCAAACCCCAAAAAGGTAAAGGTTGTTCTAGAAATGAAGTCTCTCACTAACACCCGAGAAGTACAATGCCTCACCGGGAGAATCGCGGTACTAAATCGATTTGTCTCAGGCTCCAGTGACAACTGTCAGCCGTTCTTCAAGGTTCTGAAGGTCACTTTCCAGTGGGATGAGAAATGTGAGGAGTGGGGAAGCCTTCCAAGCCCCGAAGACCATACTTGACCTCACCACCAGTGCTAGTCAGCCCACAAGAAGGAGAGGTCCTGACCTTACATCTAACCATATCTAATTTTTTAGTCAAAGTTGCTTTAGTCAAGGACAAAGAGAGGGCTCAACAGCCGGTCTACTTTTGCAGCAAGACTCTCAGAAGGACTGAAGAGAGATATTCAAAGATGGAGATGCTCGTCCTTGCCCTCCTCATAGTTATAAGGAGACTAAGACCTTACTTTCAAGTGCACACCATTGAAGTTCCAACAGATCAACAAATAAGGCAAGTCTTACATAAACCCGAAGCGTCTGGAAGGCTAGTGAAATGGGTCATGGAGCTCAATGAATTCGACATTAAATTCAAACCAAGAACAACAATCAAAGGCAAGGTGCTCGCAGACTTCCTAGCCGAATTTGCCCTAGTGCCCGAAGATCAGCCAGAGAATTTGGAGTTTGTTACCGATGTATTAACGTGGAAGTTATATGGACGGTGCCTCCAATGTGCAGGGAAGTGGGGCTGGCCTGATTTTGACCTCGCTAGAAGGGTATGACCTAAAATATGCACTAAGGTTCAATTTTTGAGCCTCTAACAACGAGGTAGAGTACAAGGCCCATATAACTGGCCTAAACTTAGCCTTATCGACGGATGCACAACAGATCATGTGCCACAACGATTCCCAACCGGTGGTTAGGCAGGTAGAGGAGGAATACGCAGCCTGTGACTACAAGATGACCCTATTTATGAGAAAGGTGCGAAGTCTTTTAAGAAGGTTTGTAGTAGCTGAGCTCATCCAAGTGCCTTGAGAGGCAAATGCCTGAGTTGACGCATTGGCTAAGCTGGCTACCACAGCTCAGCAAGATTTCTTCGGTACTACACCTGTTAAGGTCTTATTTCAGCTAAGTGTCTAGCTCGATGATGATCAGGCCACGCTGATTGATGAGACTACCTCATGGATGGATCCATCATTTCCTTTCAATGATATGGACACCTCCCACATGACAAAAAAGAGGCAACAAAGCTCAAGAACAAAGTCACAAGGTTGACCATGGTAAAAGGTAAACTGTACCAATTTGGCTTTTCTTTTCCTTTGATGAAATGTGTTACTGAGTTGAAAACAGATTACATCTTAAGAGAGATTCATGAGGGCATTTATGGGAATCACATCGGTGAACGAACCTTGGCCAGCAAGGCATTCCGGCAGGGATACTTCTGGCTCACAATGACGAAAGATGCTAAAGAGATAGTAAAGAAATGCCAGACGTGCCAACTCCACAGGAACCTGCCTCATTGTCCCCCCGAGCAACTCACACTGGTTGTTAGCCCCTGGCCATTTCATCAGTGTGGGTTGGACATTTTGGGGCTCTACCAATTGACGCTGGGCAGTGCATGTTTGCCATAGTTGCGATGGACTATTGCACCAAATGGGCGGAGGCTGAGGCACTAGCCAAGATAATGGAGCATGTAGTAGAAAGTCAAGAATTTCGTCTAGAGGATAATAATTTGTTGGTTTGACATCCTGAGAGTAGTAGTATCAGATAATAGAAAGTAGTTTGATAATCTAGGATTAACAGGTTTCTGCGCGGAATTAGGAATCAAAAACTACTTCTCAACACCCGCACATCTGAAATTTAATGTACAGGCAGAAATCACCATCCGAACCTTCAAGCTGGCCTAAAAAATGAGAGTAGAAGCTTCTAAGTCCCAGTGGGTTGATCACCTTCCAATAGTGTTATGGGCTTATCGGGCGAAGATAAGAATAACAACTAGAGAGACCCCTTTTAACCTCGCCTCTGGGACCGAAGCTATGGTCCTGATCGAAGTTGGACTTCCTTTAGCAAGAGTCTAGCTCTTTGATCCCCAACAGAACAAAAGGTCGCTGCTTGTCAACCTTGATCTCTTAGATGAGAATAGAGATGAGGCACTACAACAAATATTTTCTTATCAAAGGAGAACCGCGAGGTATTACAATCAACGAGTAAGGAAAAGAAGCTTCAAACTGGACAATCTGGTCCTCAAGAAATTGCTCCCAACAAAGAAAGACCCCTTGCATGGAAAACTTGGCCCAAATTGGGAAGGGCCATATATTGTAAAGAAGATAATCTGACCTGGCAACTACAAGCTACAAACCTAAGAGGGGAAGAATTTTCAACTTTCTTGGAACGCAGACCATTCTTGCGGTATTACCAGTAGAATCATTGGAAACTAGATATTGTGAAGGGAAAAAATTTCAACTTCCAATCAATGAAATTTGAAATTCTAGCAAACTAAACTTGCACAGTGTATGATCCGAGGAGTTCTTCAACTCGCTGAAGGCGTGAACTTTTCACTCACGCGATTTGTCCTAGGCTCCTCAGCCTAATCGCCTTTCAACTCAGCTTCTTAGCCACAAGTTCTTCAACTCCCTAAAGCTGCGAGCTCTTTAGCCGCGCAACCTGGCATAGGCTTTTTAGTTCGAGAGCATCCCAGCTCAGATTTTCAACCGACAAGAAGTTCTTCAACTCCCCAAAGTGGCGAGCTCTTCAGCTAGGCGACTTGGCCTAGGCTCCTTAGCCTAAAAGCCCCTCAGTTCAGCTTTTTAGCCGATACAGAGTTCTTCAACTCCCCAAAGACATGAGCTCTTTAGCCGTGCGACCTAGACCAAACTCCGCAACTTAAGAGCCCCCCAACTTGGCTTTTCAGCCGATATGAAGTTCTTCAACTCTCCAAAGCCACGAGCTCTTCAATCGCACAACCTAGCCTAGGCTTTTCAACCCAAAAGCCCCTTAACTTGGATTTTCTGTTGATGCGGAGTTCTTCAACTCTCCAAATCTATGAGCTCTTCAGCCACATGACTTGGCCTAGGTTCTTCAGCCTAAGCGCCTTTCAGCTCAGCTTCTTAGCCATAAGGAGTTCTTTAACCCCCTTAAGCCATGCGAGCTAACCTAGGCTCCTCAGCCAAAGTGCCCTATAGCTCGGCTTTCAGCCTCCAACTAATTCCCAACTCCTTGTTGGGTCACGCTCGAATAAGATCTCGAGCTCGACAACCCTCCAGGTCGGGACAGTGACAAACAAAAAAGAGAAAAAATGAGACAAATAAGGAATCAAAAGAAGAGTTCCCATCGTATTCAACAGAACGTAAATCTACAAGAAACAATCTCAGAACTCTCTAATATTCTCCTTTAATTCAGAGACATCCTTCCCTAACTGCACATTTGCTATTCACAACCGAATATTCTCAGTTTCAGCTCGTATCGCTCCTTCTCAATCTCAGAAAGTTGTTTCTTCAGCCTGGCCTTCCCCAATGCCAGCTCTAGCTCGTCAGCCATAAATCTCATTTCACTAGATGAAGAGTTGGACAATGAAGCTTTATGAGAAGCCTGTTTTCATTTTCTCTTCCTTGAGGACGAGGCAGTTTCTTCCTTGGGACTAGCTCGAAGAATCTCCGCTTTGACGACAGTAGGGTTAAGAACAGGGACATTAGCAGGACTAACAGCTGGGTCGGGACCAATCCCAAAGTGAACAAAATCGACTGGCTTCGAGTACACAAAAAGGGGTGAAAAAATTCCAAAATAGCCCTGGCAAATCAAGATAGCTCATAAAAGGGTAGCCTCGACTCCACTAAGGTAGAGGCTATTTACAACAAAGCAATGTAATCATAGTACAACGCGGGACACCACTCCGACAATGGGCCAGGTTGGGTGCAGCCCATGGTAATCCATGCTACCCACTAGTTCAAAAAATAAAAATATATATATAATAAAAAAAGAGAAAAGGGGAGAGAAAAACAAGAAAGAAGGAGTCAACAGGCAAGAAAATATGCTAAGTCTTTCATTAAAATGATAAAGAGAGTACAAGGGAAAGAAAAGTTAAGTACAAAAGGTTAATTACAACGAAGGAAAGACAACGACAGCCAGAAAAAAAGTTCACGCGGTAGGCTCCCCACCACCACTAGCCAACTCGGCAACAACCTCCTTGTTTGTATTCACGGGCTTAGTAAAGGCCTCCTCACCCGAATCAACTGGCTTGACAGTGGCACCTGTAGCCGCATCTGTTGGCTTTAATGCTTCAATTTGAGGAATGAAGGAGTCTAGTTCTAAGTTGGGATATGCCTTCTCGGCTTGGTCTTGATAGTTCATAAACCCTTTTACAAAGGTGGAATCACTCTCCTTAAGGAGCTCCGCAATCTTCCCCTTCAGGGACCCCTACCTCGGCATCTTTCGCCTTTAGCTCATCGTCCTTGGCCTTCAGCTAGGCATCTTTCAGATTTGTAGAGTCCTGATAAAGGGTGTTCAGGTCGTCACAGATCCACTTTAGCTTAGCCACCTCGACAACCAAAACAACCACCTTTCCTTCAGCTATTCCTTTCCACGCCTCTACTGCATCAGTGATGATCTTTATGTCCTTTAATTCACTCTCCTTTATAGCTAATTGAGTCACAAGACGGTCATGGTGGAATTCCATCAACTTCATGCACGATCAATGACGATCTTTATGTCCTTTAATTCACGCTCCTTTATAGCCAATTGAGTCACAAGACGGTCATGGTGGAATTCCATCAACTTCACGCACGCCAGGGACTGCCAAGAAGACATGATCAAGGCCCTTGGAAAGCAAGAAGATCCAAAAGATAATAATTCAATAAGAAAGGAAAAAGCAAACAATACCTTATAGAGGGTGATGAATAGTTAAAATTTGCAAGTTAATATGCTTGTATAAGACTAATTATGCTTTGATAGAGCTTCAATGATGACATTTTAGGGAAAAAGATTATAAAAGGGCCTAAATTCAATAAACATCAAACTTTCATGCAACATTTGTGACGCCCCTAAAACTGGGGGTCCTTTTTCAACCGTTGACCGCCCGTCAACTCGCGGAAGTACCTGTGCTTGTCGCACGACCCGACATCATGTCAATCATATCCCCTTAACCGAGATCCTAACCCACACGTATAACACGTGTTTCTTTAATCATTTAATTCAACGGAGGTCCAATGTGCCTCAATATACCTCATTTAATGTCCATTTGTATCTTTGGAACTAAAGAAAACAAAGCTCAAAATGTTGGCAAAACAATTGTAAGTTTTCAGATTTTTGGAAGAGCTAGCGGTAGGTGTTTGTTAGACCTACCGGTAGAAGTTCTACCTGTAAGCTACCGGTTGCTTTTTCCTACTGGACAGGTACTATCTGTTAGCTACCGGTAGATTTTGCCTGCTGGACAGGTACTACTTGTTAGCTACCGGTAGGTTTTGCCCAAAATTTTATATTTCATCAGTTTTTCATTTTTAATCCACTCAAAACCTTTTCAAATCCATCCCAAACTTGTATAATAACATTTTCTACATTGTACATAATCCATACAAGTTCTATTACATGCATTTACATAATTTACATGTCAAAACGACATTTAACCAAAGTTTTACAAAACTTGTTTCCAAAAGCCACAAACTGATTTTTCTTCACCTTCGAGGCCCCGAATGTGAGTCCTCTCCCAGTACGAACCCCGCACCTAAAATGTTTCCTGTATAGGGTGAGCCAACGCCTAATATAATATTTTCTATAGAGGCTACTCCCCAACCTAAATGCATATGCAATGATCTAATGCAACAATCACTAACATAACTTCATTTCATTCAAGAATATGCTATTCAAGATGAAATTTCTACCATGTCATGTCATGATATGAGATGAGACTCACTCATGCATCCTCACCCAAGCCTACTCTGGCTTCCACAACACTACGCAATGCATGTGTGTAAAATATTTATCTTTGATGAAATACATCCAAAGATTATTTTGAAACAAAACCCATGTGTTCATAAAAATCAATTCATTTATGGATGTTTTCCATCAAATGAATCATTTATATAATCAAAATCATGTGTCTTTATTTGGGTAGTGGACTTTTGGTGTTGCACCGCCGGCTCTACACACCGATACACTTTTTGGATTTGCACCGTCGGAGTGTATGAACCAATAGCCAGGCCTTGCACCTGAGAAAAAATCTATCTCTTCTTGCTATACCCGACACAAGTTTTTCCATGTATGCAACCGTGCGACTCAGTAGGATATTCAACCCCACTTTCCCGAGCCCACTCATCAATCACCAAGCATGGTGATCAATTCAACCATGCACTCACACCCATGAAATACAATGTGTTCTCTGTGCATATGCAACATAATGGACAATTGCATTATCAACATCATGCTCAATGTAATGAATGTCAATGAGTCAATTTAACCACATTTCATGTCCCATATGTAATGAATGTCATATGAGCAAGTTAAACTACATATCTCAACATGTGTCATAACAATTTATATCAATGCATATAATTACCACTATTTATCACAATGTCAATATATCAACATTTGTATCAATTTATTCCCAAGTACGCTACTACATAATCCATGTCAATAACACACTTAAATCACAAGACACATTATAAACACATAGTGTTGGAAATCAAGCCCACGTCACCCCCTGTCTGTGCATGTTCCTCTCCATATTTAGCATCCTCTGTTTACTTCCCTGAATTAGTGTAATGTACAGCCTTTATTATAATTGATTTAGGAGTAATTCTAGCAAGGTAGTTTATTCACTTTCCATGTAGAGGAAATTCCGTCCGGTGATAGTGTACCATTCCAGAATTGTCTCACATCGGTAGGCTATTTATTTTATGCTCTCTTTCATTGTAAATATACGGATTAACAGAATGAATTGGGTGGGTGTTCCTCCATAGTTTTTAGTCTTCAAATTTCATCACGGTATCAAAGCATGGTTTAATCCTGTCTCATTGTCTTCATCTTTAGTCAGTTTTTTTTTATGCCTAAATACGGTCCAGTCTTTGGAATGGCTACCAACTCATCCTCCTCTACTTCTGATATCATCATCTCATCATCTTCATCCTCTCATCAGATGGAAACCTCTCATCTTCCAATCACAGCCCATAAACTAAATGGGCAAAATTATTTGCAATGGTCTCAGTCCATATTAATGTTTATACGGGGAAAGGAGAAAGATGACTACATCACCGGAGCTTCGGCGGCACCAGAAACCACAGCATCAACCTACAAAAAGTGGATCGCAGAAAATAATATGGTCATGTCCTGGCTAATCAACTCTATGACCACTGACATTGGCGAAAATTTTCTGTCATTTGATACTGCCAAAGAAATCTGGGACATGGCAAAAGAAACTTTCTCAGACAAGGAAAACACATCTGAAATCATCCAGATTGAAGGCATCCTCCACGATTTGCGTCAAGGAAACCTTACGGTAACTGAATATTTCAATACTCTTACTCGTCTATGGCGTCAACTTGATTCGTTTGAGGTTCATAACTGGAATTGTGTTACTGATGGTTTGTTGTATAAAAAGATTGTCGAAGGGAAACGTGTGTTTAAATTTTTGTTAGGCTTGAACAAAAATCTTGATGAAATCAGAGGAAGAATCATGGGAATAAAACCTCTACCTAGCCTTAGAGAGGCATTCTCTGAAGTCCGTCGCGAAGAAAGTCGGAAAAATCTCATGATGGGATCCCATCAACAACTGAATATGACAGAAAGCTCGGCTCTTAAGACTCAATTCGCTCCTTTTGACAACCGTCAAAAAATTAAAGGAGGTAGACCTTGGTGTGATCATTGCAAAAAGCCGGGACACTCAAAAGAAACTTGCTGGAAGATTCATGGAAAGCCAATAGATTGGAAGCCACGTCAACCACCTGAGAAAGAAGGACGAGGAAATCATGTGGCTGCCGATGAACAATCGCCACAACCTGAAGCTAGCCCTTTTAATAAGGAGCAAATGGAGATACTTCAGAAACTATTGTCTCATCTTCTGTCAGTACAGTCACAAACTGGCTCATCTTCCAACCAGGTCATTAGTTCCGGAACCTTGGCTCACAAAGGTAATTTTTTGAGTGCCTTCACTGTTGGTAAGAAACGTAAAAAACCTTGGATAGTGGACTCAGGAGCATCTGATCATATGACGGGAGATGCGACAATTTTTGATACATATAGCTCTTGTCCAAATAATTTAACAGTCCGAATAGCAGATGGCTCACTATCAAAGGTTGCCGGTACAGGTTCAGTTGTGCTATCAAGAGATCTTACTCTCAACTCTGTTCTCCTTGTTCCTAACTTGGACTGTAATCTATTGTCAATTAGTAAACTCACTAAGGAAAAGAGGTGTATTACTAATTTTTCCTCCACTCACTGTGAATTTCAGGATTTGGATTCGGGGAAGACGATTGGCAATGCTGAGGAATGCTCTGGACTCTACATCCTTAAGGAGTGCCACAATCCGCAAGAACAACCTCAAATGGAAGTTGGTGGTAATTTTTTTTCGGTTTCATGTCAAAATAACGATAGTGCAATTATGTTGTGGCACTATCGCTTAGGTCATCCCAATGTTATGTATCTCAAGCAGTTATTTCCTTCATTATTTAATAAAAATCCAAAATCCTTTGAGTGTGAAATCTGTCAATTATCAAAGCAAGTCCGGTCTCATTTTCCCATTCAACCCTATAAAGAGTCTAGTCCATTCTCAATGATTCATAGCGATATCTGGGGTCCTTCAAGAATAAAAAATGTAACTGGGACTAGGTGGTTTGTCTCATTCATAGATGATCACACTAGATTAACTTGGGTATTCCTCATGAAAGAAAAATCTGAAACGAGTCAAATTTTCAAAAATTTTAAAAATATGATTCAGACCCAATTCCAGTCAAAAATACAAATTCTAAAGTCTGATAATGCTAGGGATTATTTCAACTCCATTCTAGGAGAATTTCTAGCACAAGAAGGGATAGTTCACTTAAGTTCATGTGTTGATACCCCACAACAAAACGGAATCGCTGAAAGGAAAAATAGGCATTTGTTAGAGGTGACTAGATCGCTAATGTTCTCCACGAATGTTCCAAAATTATTCTGGGGGGAAGCTGTCCTTACGGCAGCCTACCTCATCAATAGGATGCCGTCGAGGGTACTAAAATTCCAAACACCTTGTCAAACACTCCTAAAATCCTTTCCGACTACTCGTCTCATATCC